ATGCGCGACGGATCAACCATGGTGTCAGCGGTGGAGGGGAGGGGGTTGGGGGTGAACGGGTGGTAGCTAAAATGACACGGGCGGTGGCTACAGTGACACGGACGGTGGCTACAGTGACACGGGCGGTGGCTACAGTGACACGGGCGGTGGCTATATTGACACGGGCAGTGGCTACAGTGACACGAGCGGTGGCTACAGTGACACGAGCGGTGGCTACAGTGACACGGGGCGGTGGTTGTAGTGACATGAGTGATGGCTGTAGTTACAAAAAAAACGAACACACAGTGACATAAATTTTTTTCAGTTACATCATGTTTTCTAATTGCACATATATGACCTTGTTGATCACTTTTTAGCCCCTTTTTAAAAGTGGTCACTTTTTGGGTAATTGGTTCAAAATTAGTATTATCCAAGTAAAAACCCCAGAAAAATTTGATAACTTCCAAATGGAGTTAGAAAGTATGATATTCGTATAAGAACGGGGAAAAGGGGGGAGAAGACCTAGCGGGCGCAGGAGAAATCAAATCAAATCACTTCATAGCAATGATATATGAGTACACCACTAAAAATGGAAAAAATAAGGACAAGTTTTAACAGAAGAATAGTTAGATTGTATAATTTTGTTAATTAAAAAACTAAGAAAGTTAAATTTCAAAGTTCACTCTATGGGAAAACATGAGCATCAATTTGAACTAAAGAAATAAATAAAGTACGTCGTAGAAATCAATTTAACTTCCCATAGTTAAGATCCTCTTCATGTGATATGTCTTGAGTTCAAGTCACTACAAGACGAATCTCATAGGACTTTTAAAATGATTATCCTTTACACAGATTTTAGCTTTGTTGATCGTGCAATTATTGTTTTGTCTCACCTCAAACGAAAGTGTGAGAATTAACTTCTTGCTAGAAACTTAGTGGCGTATGACCAGTGACTATTCTCTCAAAGCTATGGTGAGAACATAAGGACATGCACAATCAATTAGATAAGAGCAGTTTTTACTGCCCAGTCATGTATAGATGAAGGTGAGAATATAACTTTTGTGCGATTCAAATTTACTTCTTTCGAGATTTTGGGGTGCGTTCCTGAAAATTTCAAGTTAATTCCAATAAAATCCAAATGACGTGGTTCTAACAAAAAGTGGTATCACAAACAAATAAATAAAAGATTAAGAGCCCGGTTGGTAGCACGAAAATCAGCTGATTTGACTGATTCTACTAAAATTTATGAAGTTCTGACTGAAGTGACTGCATTGACTGATTCTGCTGATTTAAAAAAAATTATTTTTAAAATATATATTGTTAATAAAATAAAGGAAAAATTATATGTAAAAATAGTTAAAATGATCATCTACAGTAACTTCAGCTAATACAGCCAAAAAACGTAACTTCAATCTTACTCTTTATACTTATTATACAATTCAGCACGTGAAAGAAAAAGTTACATGTTTGGTGAAAAAGTTAGCCGAAAAGTCTGATAAGCCGAAAAAGTTGTTTATGTTTTGTAGGTACCTAATAATTTTGGACATCCAATCCAATAAAGTTCATCATCATAGTGTGTTCTCTCTTGCGAAGCTTGAGTTGATAGTTAACAAATCAAGGATGAAAAAAATATTTTTTTAATGCTTCATATACTGATATACAATGTACATAAATTGTAGTATGTGCACTTTCACTCGGTAATTTCTAACATGTATTCCTTGTCATTGTTAGTCTCACTCAAGCCATTCCTTCATATTTGGACCTCAATCGAATCACATAGTTTGATCAGAAATCAGAATGCTTATAAATTGTAGGAGTACCTTTAACAACATGCGGAAGTAATGAATCACCTAACCATCGAATATAGAGATATACGTGAAAATCCATGATTTTAGAAGTTAATAATAATGAATGAAAATTTGAATATGTTTAGAATTTTATAAACTTTTAAAAGTCTACATTGAATACACTTAGACTTTTGTAAACTTTTAAGAGTCCACATTGAATACACTTAAACTTTTTAAACTTATGGATTTTTAAAACTTTTGCCACTAATTCCTACAACACACACCCCTTTACTAAAATTCATTCAACTATGGATATTTTCACTTTGGTGAAAATCTATGGTTTAGGGTGATATTTTATATGTTTCATTGAAATTTGATCTAGAAATGTTTGTTTTATTCTAATTTGAGATGTTTTTAATTGGATTAGATTCACTATAAGATCATGTCAAATTGGATTTAACAGACAATGTCATACTTAAAAGAATAAGTCTGGATTTTATTAGTCCAGACAAGAGTAGATCAGATGTCCAATTGTAAATTACACCTGGTAAAATGTACTAAACTAGATCACACAAATGCAGAGCACACCTAACCAACTAAACTTAAACATATCAGATTAAAAATATAGTCCAATTAAAAATACCATTGGTCTGATATGATCTATTATGATTCAATTTTGTATATTTATTAGCTAAGAATGTTTTCAATAAGACTCGTGCCATTCTTAAATTGGATTACATCAGATGTAACAAGAAAATTTAGACCAAATATAAACATCCTAGAAAATTTAGACCAAATATAAACATACTAGAAAATTTAGAAAATTAAAGGAGAATAAGTGGCTCGTCCCAGCAGGTAAAGGAATCATTTCGGGTAGCCAGACCAATAATGGAATTAGTGAGGAAGGCAAGCGATCAAGCATCTTGGAAGGCGGGCCCTCAACAAAAGGGAGAGGGAAGCTCGAGCAGAAGCGCAGGCGTGTGGAGGATTCGAAAGCTTACCAGACGGGAGAGGAGATGGAGCTCGTACAAGCGGGGGAAAAAAAGGGGAGGAGGCGAGCTACAATTTTGTAGCTCGCCAGGCATAGAACTGACAACAGCTCTTTCACAGCATGGGGGAATAAATAAGGCTGAAGGCCATGAAGTCTTTATTATTTTTTACGCGTTTTCCTTGTCGTATGCTCATGTCGTTTTTATTTTCTTTCGGAACTCTAGAGGTAGGTTGTTGGTTTGCTTTTTAGATTTTACTCAGAATTTTAGCGTAGGTGGAAGCGACAAGGCTTGTTTGACCGTTAAAAACTTCGAAGCTCTCACATGGTTCGCGAATAGTCTCGCTCTTTTTGGGGTGGTCTAATTCTATGTCTAACCAGAGAGTGGGAGGGCCTTTTGGCTATGCGGAGCCTCATGAGGAGGTTTAGCGTTGTATGGTTGGAAGTACTTTGAGATCTTTGATTGTTGTAATATAATCAGTTTCCTTTTAAAAAAAACATCCTAAAGCTGATCTAATACAATCTGATTTATTTAAATATGTTTTCTCTGGTCTTATCCATTTACACGCAGATAATTCTTTTGTATTCTACTCTAAAAATTATAAATCCTTATTAAAAGAAAAGTAAATAAAGAAATGGTATTCAACGCACCCAAAATGAAAAGTTAACAAAAAATTCTATAATGTATATATAATTATATATTTATAAATATTTGTAGGTAATAAAAATATATATTGAAATGGTAAATCCCCCACCCCCCAATCATAAATACTTTAGGAACATCTCCAATATAAATTATGAATGATGCACACATGGCAGAAAAGTGTTTATCTTTCTTTCTACAGCATGGTAAATTTAATTTACTTTTTATTTATAATGTCAAATACAATGTCCAGATTTAAATGATGTGTTTGAAGTTGTGAACAAAAAAGAACTGAATATTTATCACACAGTGGAAAGAATGTGAACGACTTTCTATTAATTAACTGTTGTGTTTTATATCTTTCCTGCCATGTGTGCGCCGTTAACATATTTGTATTGAAATGTTCTTAGAGCATCTCCATTATAACTATATGCTCTGTGCGCATGTAACATGAAAGAGATAAACACATAAAACAATTATTAACATTTATCTCTCATTCTATTACGATTTTATATAATTTCGTTAATAATGTGAATCACTATATCTATATTTATACACTCCTTTTGACGTTGTGGAGATTTTCTTTTACCAAGAATATATAAAACCGTTTAAATAAGAAAAAGTATATCTCGCTTACTAGTATTTGTGTGTCTATCTCTCTTGTGTCACGTGAGCAAGATGCACATGGCAAATATATCAGACTAGACTTGACTTTCATAGGTATAAAATACACAAAGACCAGACGTTTACTAGACCTTAACAGACCAGTTTAAAACAGACCAAACTAGACTTAAATAGATCACACCAGACATCAAATTAGAGAGGACCTATGTAGCACCGATACCGGTACGTGGAAACGCGGAAACGCGTACGGGGATACGTCAAAAAAAAAAGTAGGATACGGATACAGGGCCATATTTATAAATATTAAAAGTTATGGGGGTGTATTTACAAATATTAAAAGTTATAGGGGTCTATTTATAAATATTAAAAATAGATTTTTTTTTGAATATATATATACATATAATATCCTATGATGTCTACCCATTCATTGCATTGAAGCATTTTCCTTTTTCAAGATACTTAGTAATAAATTCATAATATTTTTCATATACACTAGGACATCTCGAAATATAAATGTAGTCAATAAGTCATTAATTTAAAATAAGAAATAAGTCAAACAACTACAATCTTGAAAGTAAAAGTGCAAGTACCCAATTCGGAGTATGAGTTAATGACTTAATTCGGATATAGCCATATAGGCCCATTATTTGATTAACAAGTAAAATGTAGTTTTAGATTTTCATTTTTTTTTTAGAATTTTATTAAGTAAATTTTGGGATTTTTTTTTAAAAAGTTGATACGGGTATCCGTCAGGATACAAGTATCGGAAACTTTAAAAAAATTATAAAAAAAAATGGAAACTTTTAAAAATTGAAGATATGACTCGAGAATGTACGGTACGGATATCCCAGAATATCGGATACGAGAACGTATCAGATAAACCGATACGCTACCCTAAGGAAGTATCCGTGCTTCATAGGAATGGACCATCAAATTACGGAGTATATATTTCTTTCCCTTTCTAGCCCCCAACGCCGGTGAAAAACAAGGATATAGATTTGCAATAGGTTCTCAAAGATCGAAGCCGCCGCTGAACAATTCTACGCTGCCGTGTGGTTTGATGTGGGGACACCAATCCCACCTTAAGTTCCCCAACGGAAAAGTCGACTCCGTTCACCGGTGGCCGAATGAACCTCCGCCGGAGAAGTGCTCGGAGGGCGAATGCCCGAGGCCGTTTTGGGGTGGCAGAGTACCAGATCCGATGAGCGGATTCTCAGCGTGGGTGTTCTTAAAAATGGGCGAACTGAGCGCGGCTGGGAATCCAGTTCGGAAGTGGAAGACGGGATCTCTGCCGTGAGGGAGAAACTGTTGGTTGATCTCCAGGCGGCGACGGATAAGATGAAGGACGCAATCTTGGGAGCAGGGCTGAGGGATGGAGAGGGTAAGGAACGACCACCGGCACCGGCGACGGGATCGGAGACTATTACGCCGGTGGGTCCATCAGAAACTGCCGCCAGACCGTGGAACTTGCGGACACGACGGTCAGGAAATAAGCATCTTCACGTAGTCACCGCCGTCTCCGGCGAAGCAACTGCCCGACCGCCGCCGCCTAATTGTTCGCTATTTAAGAGCAGAAACGAATCTTCAGGTCTAGACCCAGCGACAACAACTCCATGACCGCCGCCGCCGCCCACTCCACGGCGACCTACGCCGCAGGGGTTCTTCCATCGCGCTGAATTGGCAGAGAGCGAATAAAGGGTCACATCTTATTTAATTTCTTATAGCCATTTGTTAGATTTAATTTTGATAAAGTTTGATCTTCCTTTAAATTGGAAACCTGAATAGATGAACATTGAGGTTTCTATAAATCTATACTTGCAGAGTTCGTATACGGTGGAATCGCAGCAGCATGAGAACGATCCAAAACACATAGTATTGCCCACGCGTGTACAGTAATTAGTTTATTTTTTTTTTTTTTTGGGAAAATTTTACAAATAAGACTTGATCATTTGATTTTTCCAAAATTAAGACTTCAAGTTCGGATAGGACATAAGTGTAGCTCTTTTGACTAGTATACCCTTGTATCTGATAACTCCACAGCATCCCTCTATCATTATTACCAAAATTTGCGATAGACCAAAGTAGCTGGTTCAGAACTTCTGAATCGTAAACTCAAAGCAAAAAAGCGCAGACCTCAAATCTTCTTCAGAGCTTCCAAATCGCAACCGCAAAGCATGACGAAAGAGATAATCGATCAATTAAGATGAAAGCCGACGATGGCGACGGTGGCTAGGGTTTTGCGATGCAGCAGCGGCTAAGCTTCAAGCTTCGGAGATGGCGATGATGGCTACGCTAACAGACAGATGAAGGCCAGATTTTGAGGCCGGAGGGGGGATTTGTGGATTGGGGGTCGGGGCTGTGCAGATCTGGGATAGATCCGAGTTGGGGAGGGTGGATTGGAGGTTATGTGGGTTGGTCGGAGCTGGAGCTCGAGCTGGGGAGGGGGGCTGGGGGCAGGTCAGAAGGCTGGGATGTGGCTGGAGCTGGGTGGGGGTCGGGACTGGGGAAGGGGCAAGGGGTTGTCGACAGCGGCACCGCCGCTGTGTTGCGGCGGCCGGGGTGTTGCGGCAGTTACCGGGGTGTTGCGGTGGTGGCCGGATTTGCCAATTTCGAACTTCTATTTCATATTTTTACAACGCCACACGTACTCTCCAAAACGTTTGAAGAAACCAGATCCAAAACCAAACTTGCAAACACTAGACAATACATAGGAATTAAGTGGTCAGTAAACAGACAATAAATTCTAATAATAGTTCAATAGCAGACAATACATAGACACGAAGTAGTCATTAAACAGACAATAAATTTTGACAATAGCTCAATAGTAGAGCAGGTCACGTAAAACAGTAAGTGAAGGGTAAAATTGGAAGTTTAAAATCGAGTTTTCAAAAATAGAACTACATGGCTCTTACCCAAGGAAAAAACATACGTAGGTCCTACCAAGTGATTTGGTCCTACCAAGTGCAAATTTCTCTTTTTTTCTAATCCCAATAGCAGAATGATATAACTCGTGGGTAAAAAAATGTAACTCACGTTAAAATGAAATGTTACTACTAGCAAGTCGAAATGTAACTCGTTTAAAACATTGATTTCAATGTAAACAATAAAAAATGAATCAAATTTTTTAATTATTTTACCTAAATAGTGAATATGTTTTGTTTTTACTATGAAGACCATAAAATGTTTTTAAAAAATATTTTTTCCCTAAGAAATCATTTTTTGTAAAAAACAAATTACATGTAAGTGAGATGTAACTTGATGAAGAAAGTTAGCATGTAACTCGCGAATAATAAGATGTAACTCGCAAATAAAAAGATGTAAACGTTTTTACAGAGATGTAACTCCATGTATTAATTAATAATTAATATATATATATATATATATATATATATATAAACCAATTACTCCATGGTTATATACATGAGCAGTAACACTTCCCTTCCCCGATTCTTTCCACAAAATCAAAGAGCACTATTATAGATTTAGATTCCAAGCAAGTAGAGACAGAAACTCATTTTTACAAGCAACACATATATGCAGGGCTTCTTCAATTTATTGTAAACCAGACATCGGAGCTTTGTCTTCAGGGGTGGGGGTGTCAATTCATCACGATTCAAAGAAGCCAACAAAGAAAAAATCATTTGGATTGGTAGGGGACAACTCTGCACAAATCGGGATCCAACGGGGTCTTCCGATGTTTCTGCGAGGGGAGGAACAGCCTGTCTAACAGTTGGGAAGAAGATGACTTTTTTTTAATTAAAACGATGCCATTCAGGGACTGGCACACCGTGCACACGGTGGGCCGACCCCACGGTATAATCTGCGATACTTGCAGGGCTCACAAGTTACAAATCTTATTTCTTTTTTGACTAAATTATCAGAGATATGAGTATACGACTAAAACTACTCTTTTCCCCGTTTATATAATCTTATTAATCTTATTATTATTTTTATCAAACTAATATTTTTCGAAATGAAACTTACTTATATTAAAATAAACCGCAACCAATAGAGTACATCAGACTCAAACTGAAAAATCAAACTCTGACTAGACTCAAAATACGAAAATCATCTCGCTCTATGGTCACCTCAGATGACGATACCAAATCGCAGACTATGTGAGAGCTGTGAATACAAATACCGCTTTCGGAGCCACAAAGCTTCTGACCGGGGTGATAGATACCCTAGCAACACAACACCCTCCAACCAAAAACATAATTAAAAGTAGCATTGTGAAGCAAAAACAAGTACTTATGAAAATTAACAAAACAAACTATTAAAAGACACCAAAGAATTTAAAAAATTGCAGGTGCGCAAACCCTAGCATCTCGTTCATTTCTTGGTGGTGGTTAGGAGGGGACGAATTATTGACACTTCATCTTCTCCCGTTTGTCCCATCTAATTTGTTGAACGTTGGATCCAAGTCATTCCTGCACTCTAAGGAATTTTTCGTGCTGAACTTCCGTCTTCATCAAGAAGAAAAGCATTGAGTTGTCACCCCTGGTAGTTATGATATAACATTGGCCCCTGTCACACCAAAACTGAACCCTACGCATGAGGAATTCTCGCACTTGCATTCGGGCGACCTTCACCGTTCTCCATACTTGTGTCCTTGCCTGGCGGTCAAAGGGCTCGAAGAGGATCCACCGCAAATTAATCCCTTGACTGTACTAGCCTCAAGCCCCGGTGGTAGATTCTCCATCACTGATTCATGTCTGATCTCTATAGCAAACTTAGGGATTAATCTCCATCTGATGTAGTATCGTTGTCGCAGAAACCTTTCCCCGCCTAGTGTGCCCAGAAATTCAGTAAGATTCCCCCGTCAAACCTAGGCCTGTCAATGGATCGGGTCTGGGCCGGAACTTAGTGTTCCAGACCCGACCTGACCCGTATACCTGGCGCGTTTGAAAATTTGGACCCATACCCGGACCCAGCAGGTCTCGGAACTGGGTCAGGTAGATATGCCAAGTATGATGTGCACATCATTATAATTTTGTGAAAATAACAAGACATGTATTTGAAATGTAAAGCAAAATGCGCAAACTTAAAAACAAATTATATATTTTCACATTTCAAAAAACATCAAGGTTTCTCACAAAAAATTATTACTTTTATCCAATAAAATATAGGTTCTTGTAGAAGCTAGAACTTCACGCTTTGTGTCTCTTTCTCTCGCACAGAAAGCTTGTATTTTAGACTAGAAATTAGTAGGGGTGTTCGCCGGTTCGGTTTTGGCGGTTTCGGTTTTATCGGTTCGGTTTTAGTCGGTTTCGGTTTTTAGTCGGTCGGTTTTGATCGGTTTCGGTTTTTAGTCGGGCGGTTTTAGCGAGAATCGGACCGCAAAAATTGAGTCAATTTTGGTCAATTTGTATCGTTTTCTGTCGATTTTACCCATTTTTGCCGGTTTATTTTCATTTGACCGGGTTTTTAAGTCAAAAGTATGAACCGTAAACCGAATAACCGAATTAGTCACTTTCGGTCGGTTTCGGTTTTATCGGTTCGGTTTTAGTCGGTTTCGGTTTTGGTCGGTTTCGGTTTTGGTCGGTCGGTTTCGGTCGGTTTGGCGGTCGGTTTCGGTTTTTCAGTTTTTTTGTTCACCCCTAGAAATTAGGTTACAAAAGGTCTCTTAGAGTACTAAGAGTATAAAATCATATTATACTTCCCCCGTCCCCAAAACAACTTCCCGGTTTGACGTACACACATATTAAAGAAATAAACTTATCAGGGGGTAAATTTTACTGTTTTGACACTGTTTCAACACTATTTGACACTGTTTGACACTGTTTAGATGTAGATAACTTTCCATTTTAGGAAAGTGGGAAGTTATTTCAGGGACGGAGGGAGTATATGATAATGGTATAATTGTATTATTAGTAATAAATATTGGGCTTTGCCTCCTGACCCCAATACACACTTTATGAGTATGTAAAAGCGGTCACTATGGGTATTAGTTTTAGGGTATCTCACAATCAGTATCACTTATACATAGTTAGTGCCTAGGGAGTTTTAAAACAGGGGATCGTGATAGTGGGAAGAACAGTGTACCATATTGAATTCTCACATTGTGAAAAAGTGACATATTGAATGACTAATTCTCACCGACTCATCACCTATTAGCGACTTGTTACTCTAAAATGCATTATATATAGTGACTTTTTCCCATTACTCGTGCTACAGTGACGTGTCATATTTTTATCCAAATAACATAACTAGTCATATTTTTGTTCGGATAAACTATGTTAGTATTATAATGTCAATTTTTCAATATATTTCCCACCAATTTGCGCCACAGCAACTCGCGAAAGCTTCGCTGCCACCAGTTGCCGTCGCCACCATCGAACTGTCTCAGCACCACTGGATTGCCCCACCACCAACAGAATTAGCGGTGTTATGTGAAAAAAATTAATAGTGCTCTAGGGTTTCAATTTATAGAGCTTTTGCCGTGAGAAGGCTGTTGGTCAACGCAGGGAGCACTGTCATGCTGAGGCTATGACTCCTCTGTGAGGCAGCAAGTATTTTTTTTCTCTCACTTTGGAGAGTTAGGTTTTCTCTCGCGTGTTGAGAGTCGTGCAATGCCGCACTTCTGCAGATCAATTTTTTGGCATTTTGATCGAGTCCAGGTTCAAGAAAGGATAAATATTTCTTCTATGAATGATCAAGAGCAGTGTTATCTCATTCCCGCAATTGAGGAGAAGGTCGAACGGTTAGTTTTTTGCGAATCAACATGGGTGAAGGGCGGTTGCGATAGTGGAGGCGGCACAGGCGACGAGAAGACGGGAAGAAGTGATGGGCTGAGCAAGGGAGAAGATAGATCGGCAGCCCCCCCCCCCCCGAACTGCCACCTTGGAGCGATCGTGGTGCTAGGGTTTAGAAGATTTATCAGTTATTTTATATTCTATGGTTTTATTTTCACGTTATGTTGTACGTAGCTCGGTTTTTTGTTAATACCTTTAGCTATAGGTCTACGGAATTCTGCTAGATATTATCTCGTTAGAAAGATCTATGACCCGTGATTGATGTGTCACACCCGCTTGGTGGTTAGCGATTCGTATTGCTCCCCCCTCCCCCCCCCCTCCCCCCCCCCCTCCCCCCCCCCCCCTCCCCCCCCCCCCCCCCCCCCGTCCCCAAAACATTTTCCCGGTTTGATGTACACACATATTAAGGAAATAAACTTATCAGGGGGTAAATTTTACTGTTTTGACATTGTTTCAACACTATTTGACACTGTTTGACACTGTTTAGATGTAGATAATTTTCCATTTAAGGAAAGTGGGAAGTTATTTCAGGGACGGAGGGAGTATATGATAATGGTACAATTGTATTATTAATAATAAATATTGGGCTTTGCCTCCTGACCCCAATACACACTTTATGAGTATGTAAAAGCGGTCACTATGGGTATTAGTTTTAGGGTATCTCACAATCAGTATCACTTATACATAGTTAGTGCCTAGGGAGTTTTAAAACAGGGGATCGTGATAGTGGGAAGAACAGTGTACCATATTGAATTCTGACATTGTGAAAAAGTGACATATTGAATGACTAATTCTCACCGACTCATCACCTATTAGCGACTTGTTACTCTAAAATGCATTATATATAGTGATTCTTTTCCCATTACCCGTGATTGATGTGTCACACCCGCTTGGTGGTTAGCGATTTGTATTGCTCTTTCTCGAGTGATCGTCTCTGAGTCTCTGGTTAAAGACTGTTATTGTGAGTGTTGCTCTCTTTGAGTTTATTGTAACGATCCGATTTCTAATGATATTAATATAATGAATTTTTTCTTTCAAAAAAAAGTAAAAAGTTATTGTTTAATTTTATTTATGAAAGATTTAAGTTTTACTCTTGCTTATAGAATAATGATTATATTTAGAGCCTGTTTGGTAGCACGAAAATCGGCTGATTTGGCTGATTCTGCTGAACTTTATGAAATTCTGGCTGAAGTAATTGCATTGGCTGATTCTGCTGATTTAAGAAAAAAATATGTTTAAAATATATTTTATTAATAAAATAAAGAAAAAATTATATGTAAAAATAGTTAAAATAGTCATCTACGGTAACTTCAGCCAATACAGTCAGAAAAGTAACTTCAACCTTACTTTTTCTGCTTATTACACAATTCAGCACGCGAAAGTAAAAGTTATGTGTTTGGTGAAAAAGTTGACTGATAAGTCTGATAAGCCGAAAAACAGTGTTGCCAAACAGCCTCTTTTTCTTAATTTAGGCAGTTAGTGTTTGCCTAAACACACCAACACAAAGTCTTCCGTTTCCGTACCATATAGAAAGATCAATACCGTATTATGGATATAACTTCATCACAAGATTAATGGTACATCAACAAGCCCAATTGATACAAAAAATAGATAGCAACAGTTGGTAAAAATCACATCTTTATTTGCATTATGATCTAAACAATTATCTTCAAGCTAACAACATTAACTTTGGAGAGATTAAAATTTGGGATTTGCACATTTGAGTCCTGCAAGTAGAGAAACCTCAATGTTCATTTATTCAAGTTTCCAATTTGCAGGAAGATCAAACTTCATCAAGATCAAATCTAACAAAGGGCTATAAGAAATTAAAGAAGATGTGACCCTTTATTTCTACTGATCGCCAGGAACTTTGTACATATCAGCATTGATTTCTGTTAACCACAATCCAGGAAATAGGCTCTGCAATTTTAATCCATTTGGGAAAAAAAATCAGATTGAATTTCACTGAGCAAAAATCCCAATTCAAAGATTGAATAATGTAAAAGTAGATGAAAAGGGACTTGCATCCAGATTTTTCTGAATATATTTAGCTCGTTTCTTGGGCCGGCGGTTGGGTTTGCGACCTATCATGGAAACGGAATCCTCCTCGATCTCTCGCCGAGTAAGGGAAACGGAAAACTTCGCTCTCTCCCGCTTCACCGCGATGGAAGAAGCTCCGGCGGCGGCGGCGGCCGTGGAGTCGTCTACGGTGATTTCCGGCGATTGGTCGGCGTCGGCAGCCGTTGAGTGGTCGGCAGCGGCGGTTTGGTCTGCGGTAGGTCTAGACCTCATGACTCTTAGAGATTCGTTTATGTTCTTAAATGGCGAACCATAAGGCGTTGCCGGCGACGCAACATCAACTTTCAAACCGGAGTTCGATTCGCCGGTGACGGCGGCGGCTACGTTAAGATGCTTATTTCGCGACCGTCGAGTCCGCAAGTTCCATGGTCTGGCCGTTTCTGATGGGCCCACTGACGCAATAGTCTCCGACCCCGTCGTCGGTACTGGCGGTCGTTCCTCACCCTCCTCCGCCACAAGCGGCCGCTCTCCATCCCTCAGCCCCGCTCCCAAGATTGCCTCCTTCATCTTATCCGTCGCCGCCTGGAGATCAAGCAACAGTTTCTCCCTCACGGCGGCGATCCCGTCTTCTACTTCCGCCCGGAATTCCCAGCCGCGCTCCGTCCGTCCATTCTTGAAAACGTCCATGCTCAGAATCCGGTCATCGGATCCGTGATTCTTCCACCCCAAACCAGCCTCAGGCCTTCGCCCGCCGAGCGACTTCTCCGGCGACGTTCCATTCGATCTCCGGTGAACGGCGTCGGTTTTGCCGTTGGGGAACTTACGGTTGCCCCACTTCAAACCACAGGGCAGCGTAAAATTGTGAAGCGGCGGCTTCGATCTGTGAGAACCCATTGCCATCCAAATCTTTCTCGTCGCTTTTCCCCGGAGTCTCTCTGTTTTCTTACACTCTCCCTCCTTCCAGACGGAGATTAATTTGTTTTCGGTGTACAGAAGGAGATTAATAAATATGGTGACAATTGTTGTACCCATTTAAAAAATGGGGTACCGTATCAAATATGCATTTGATTGGTCTAAATCATTAAATGTTTTTTAATTTAGATTTAAATAATTCAACTGCATCATTCTTATTGGTACGTTTGGACAAATGTACGGTACATTTGGGGTACCATAGAATCTACCAATAAATATAGGGTTTCTTAAATAAAATTTTATTATCATAAAAAAAAATTATTATTATATATATATATATATATTTTGATAATTTTTTTGTGAGCGAATATATACTAGTACTACGTATTATTTAAGCACTCTCGACTAGAAAAGAACAAATTTATATATATCAAATCACTTCAATTCCATCTTACTCATAATAAGTTGTACAGAGTACTAATAAAGAGGCCGTTTGACAATACTGTTTTTCGACTTATCAACGAACTCTTTCACCAAACAGGTAATTTTTGTTTTCGCGCGCTGAATTGTGAAATAAACAGAAAAAGTAAGGTTGAAGTTGTCTTTCTGACTTTATTGAATAAAGTTATTGTAGGCGACCATTTTAGCTATTTTTACATATAATGTTTTCTTTATTTTATTAATAAAATATATTTTAAAAATATTTTTTCTTAAATCAGCTAATGCAGCCACTTTAGCCAGAACTTCTTAAATTTCAACAAAATCATCTGATTTTCATGCTACCAAACAGGTCCAAAATTCATTAAGTGACAAGTAAAGATTATTAAATAAAAATAAATAGAATCAAATCAAACTAAGGTTTAATAAATATTTTTTAATTTAAATTAAATAAATGAGACTTCAATATAGTGAAAACATCCCTAATGAATAATTATGTTAAATTTCCTTCTTACTTGGTAGAGCCTTTATCACTTTTAGTCCACCGATTATTATGTCACTAACGCTTTTGGTAATCGATGTTTAATTTATTAACTTTTAGTCCTTTAACTGTTGTGAGAAAGACAATTTTGATACCTGTCTAAAATTTTCCAAATTTACCTCTTCGACTTCCATAAAAGTGACAACTTTTGATCTTTCATATCTATCTCTCTTATATCATATATGCACCGTGCGCATTGTAGCAGTTGAGGTGCTCTTAGAATAGTAACATTTTTAATCATTCATTTATTGTGTCAAAATCACAGTGGAAGGACTAAAAATATCTATTTGATAATACACAGGAGACTCAATGTGGGGAATTTTGAATTCGAAGACTAAAATTTCTAACACACAATAATGTAGAACTAAAAATGAAAAAATTGAAAGTCGAGTACCAAAGTGTCACAAACACAATAGTCGAGGGATCGAAAATGGCAAAAACTCTTACTTGGCATATCTTCTCCTATTCCTTGTGTGTGGGCAAAACTGTTTGGTTCAACCGAACCGAACCAATTTAAATAGAAAATTGGTATTTTAGTTTGGCTTAGGTTTACTAAAGTAAATTGTTTTTAACCTGTAAACTAAACTATTTGACAAAAATATGTCCTGAATTGAATGGTTTGTTCTAATTTGATTTTAAATTGAAATACCGTAAATCGAACATAACTATTTATAATTTTATTTCTCTGCAAAATACTATGTATTTGTCTTCACTCTTTCTTTTAATGATACAAATAATAAATAACCTAAATATGAAAAATATATTTTTAGCTTATAACATTTTAACTTTTATGCATTTCATACATTTATTATGACAAAGTTAATTAGCTAATATAACATATATTACGTATGTTATATACGGTGTACTCATTATGAAAAGTCGGTGATTACAATAGCACATTATATTTATATGTTTCACTTAAATAGAAAAAATGAATTTATATGATTCACTTAAATCTGTTAAGGACTTAAGTAGAGTACAATATTTCACTTAAATAAAAAATATGAATTTTACAATACCTTTTTCTGTCAAATCTTTTAGTTTAATTTTCATTGGATATTTTATGAGAGATTGTAATTATTAATCAACTATAAACTTATCTTTTATGAGAGATAAATCTTTTTTCTTGTAATTGATAAGATACTCGGACTTTTTCATGTCATCAATCCAAATAAGACGAATTAGGTGTTAATTTATACTCCGAATCATTGTATTTATTTTTTTGGGTTTCTATTTTGTTTCACATTTTATTTATATAATAAATCCAACAACCAAGGTGAGGTGGGTTACAATGTTCATTTTTATTTCGAAAACTTAAGACTTCGTGATATAAATCAAATAAACAAATAAGCATATGAGCTAAATCAAATCGTACTAAACTGAATCAAATCATTTTCATATGGTTATCAAAACTTGAAGTCAAAACAAACCAAACTGCAAAACAAATAGTTTGAATATGGTACAATATCTCTGAAGCTGAATAAATCAAAATGGAACCGAATTGCATAAATATTGAATTATAAACCGAATTACCCATACCTAAAGTGCATTTAACTCCAGCCTCTAAGAATCAATTCTGGGGTCTCACACACCTCTAGCTAATTATATAAATGTAACTATGCGTGCAAAATAGTTCCAATAGCATATAGATAAGGCAATAATAGTCGCGTTCCACGTACACCTTTTTGTTGTACAATTTACTTTAGTTGTATTTACAAATGATTTGTGTTTTTAAATGAGTAGCGTTCCTACGTATATCGATAAAAAACAGGGAGGTTGTACAATAGATGTACATCAAAAAAGTGTAGAAATAGAACATTAATACGAAGTATATAAAAAGACAAATCTGAAGTTACTTTGTGATGGAAAATATTCCCAATCAGGAAGTAAATAATTAAGGAAATCTATATTTCTCTCTAAATAAGAGTAAATTAAATCATTTCTTAAATAATATTGTGATATTTAGTACTACGTATTAATTTAACGTGACAATTTTAATGCAATAGTTGACATTGTATACAAACATGGTTGTGATTATACGTAGTACTTATGTACGAAAGTCTTTTTCCGAAGTATTTTTTTTGTACACAAGACATACGGAGTATGTTAAATTGAGAATAGTCCATAAACACAAGAGGTATTGAAATAATTCAATTAAGCATTGTTTTGGAGTTAACAATATGAACCTATACGCATGAACATAAAAGAGAAGGAAATCATTTTAACATAAGTTGGTCAATTTTAATAAGGCTAAATGGTCAAATAGGTACATGAACTAACTTAAAGTGTTCAATTAGCCCCTTATTTAGGAGGTTCTGCCCGGCCGTCGCCAATTGGGGCGGTTCCTGGTAGAATTTTTTGATGAATTTTTTTAGAATCTTCTTCATTAAGTCTAGTTTACCCATACCAAATTTCAGCTAAAAATTCAACCGGGAAGGCAGTCAAATGATTTTTTGAAGATAACTGCGCAGTTACACAGCGCAGTACATTTCGGAAAATCATTTGGCTGCCTTCCCGATTTAATTTTTAGTTGAAATTTGATATAAGTAAACTAGACTTAATGAAGACGATGCTAAAAAAAAATCATCAAAAAATTCAACTGGGAACCGCCCCAATTGGCGACGGCCGGACATAACCTCCTATATAAGGGGCTAATTGAACACTTTAAGTTAGTTCATGTACCTATTTGACCGTTTAGCCATTTTAATAAACATACAATATGCAACTTCTTTCTAAGTCCACAGGTGACTAAACAAATTAGATTTTCTCCGTTTTGTGGGAGCTAAGGTAGATTGAACAAATTTCATCACCACATAACTCCTTTCTTTGTACTGATCATCAGGAACTTTGTACTTAAAAACAAAAATATTAGGATTAATTTTCACTATGAAAAATTGCAATTTTAGAATATTGTTACTAGCAAGTACAATTGATATTTGAACACGCCCCGGTAATTAACTGCTCCGTATTAGTGTTCAGTTTGATGTGTTATTTCTAAAAGTAGGAGTACCGCTGGGTAATATATTGAAGAAATTGGATCTAAACGTAATTTAAGGAACAACCGAAATCTTCTCGGGCAATGGAGAACTTTTCTCTCTCACGATTCTCTACTCCGGCAAGATCTCCGGCATCGGTTTCACAGGAAGCGACGGTGGCAGTGAATCTTCTCCGTTGCTTACTCCCCAGCCCGGCGGTTTCAGAAGGACTCACTGGCGCATTTGTGTTTGAGGCAGCCGCCGGAGACGCCGGAGCCGCCGGTGTCCGTCTCTACCGGTCTACCACGCGAACCTTCCTCGACTTCAATTTCTTCGTCTCCGCTTGCATATCAAACACCACTACATCAGTTTCTTCCTCATTGGGGCGATTCCGTCTTCTACGGTGGCCCGGAATTCCCGGCCACCACCCGTCGGCGGTCGTCCCATTCTTGACTACGTCCACCCCTGGATTCACCTGATTCGATCGGAGACGCTCCAACAGAATCAGGCTTACCCCACCGCAAGAGCTTCCGGTTTCCCCAGTTTAAACAAAAGGGAAACGTGAAATCTATAGCGGCGGCTTCGATCTTTGGGAACCCATCGCCATCGGCACCTCCCAATACCTCTCCTCGTTCTTGTTTTCGACCGTCCTCTAAAGTCTCTCTGTTTCCGGCAATACCGACGGCGAGGCGGTCGAGTTGTGACGTAGCGTATGATTTGGTTAAACAGATCTCTCTGTTCATTACTAAAGTTGTGTTGTTTTTGACCCACTATTTCTTGTGAATGGAATTTGTATACTCTATTCATCTTATACGCCCTCCCGCTAGGAAGTTCCTATTTTGACCTACGCTTATATTTAGGAAATAAATTTGACTTTCCTATAAAGTACTCCCTCCGTCCCATAATTATCTTCATTCTTTCCTTTTTGGTCCGTCCCAAATTTATCTCCTCTTTCCCTTTTTAGCAAAGGATTTGTGGTTCACAACCATTCTTACACATTTCTTTCTCCTCTGCACAACTCTCCACCACACATTTCCCACTTTCTTAATCTCCGTGCCCAGTCAAAACCGAAGTTAATTCTGGGACGGAGGGAGTACATTGTTTCGACACTGTTTGACATTGTTTGCACTGTTTGACACTGTTTTGATGTATGATAACTTTCCATTTAGAGAAATGAAAGATCATTTTGAGATGACTAAAAAAGGAAACCTGGAAGAGATCTTAGCAGGATGAAGGGATTACTTTTTTATTCCTTACCACTTTTAATACTCCATCACTTCTTTAATTACAGTCATTGTATTAAGGAAATAAATTTATTCCTGAAGTAAATTTTACCATAAAATATACTACGTATTATTTTACACTAACCAAGCATTCTAGCTCAGCTGGTTGTGAGGTTACTATACTTAGTTGGAGGTCTCGTGTTCGAATCCCGGTATCCACACAAGGGTTGGAAACTCAATGGAATGAGTTTCAGCCCTGATTACTTCAGGGGGGCCGCATATGGACATATGGACATATGGACAAAAAAATGACGATAAGCTACTATGTCTAAGTTTTATAGTTACCACGATGTAACATTTGAATACAATCATAGTCACTTAAGTTATCAATGTCACATTTTTGTTCATTACTTATATTTTGGTTATATATTTCAAATTATTTCATTCACAAATAGGATTAGATTGTTTTAAATTCTCTAAATAGGACTAATCATGTATGTTTGAATGAATTCTCTGTCCAGCCACTACCTCTGGCCACCGCCACTGGGCTCCGACCATCTGACCCCTCTGAAATTCCACCACATGGCGCGACCATCGACCATCAGAGTTCGTTGGAAATTTATGAAATAGATATGGCGCCAATTTGAGCCATTGCACCTCGTCGGAGCTCCCCGCCATTAGTCACCTTCACCGCCATCGAACCACCCCGCCATCACTGGACTGTCCTGCCTCCAACAGACTGCCCCGATTATGCAAGAGAATTATGGGAGGGAAATTAATTAATTAAATTAGGGGTATTTAATAGATCATGTTTATTAAAGATTTAAGCTTTACAGGCTGAGAGTTTCGACACATAAGAAGAGTTGGTCCTAAGGTAAACCTTAGGCGGCCATCTCCGATCTTCTCCAGAATACGACCTTTTAGGCTTCTCTTCTCCAATCAGCAAGAGTCGTGGAAGATAGTGATATTTTTTAGATAGTTAAACACCGAATCAAAGGTTTTTCAATGCTTTTGCTCTTTTTTAATATTAACTTTCGAGGATTTTGGTCCGGCTTTCTCATAGCAATGTCTAGAGGTTGTGTATTCCTCATCGGTGTAATCGATTTGGGGAATAGTTGTTGTTCTTGGTTGGCAAAGTTTTTTCAACCTTTCTATTCTGAGGCTTCAATTACTCGTTCTCCACTTTAACCACCGCCAGGGGCGAATCCAGGAATTTGAGACGCCCTAGAATGAATAGAAATTATACTAGGTTTAAATATTATAGGGGTGGGCTAACCGCGAAAAATGGAAAAAATTACACTAAAACATTGAAAATTTTCTAAGTTGCCCTAGGTTTCAGCCTACCATAGCCCGTGCATAGATCCTCCCCTGACCACCGCCCTACTATGGGAAGAAGAAAATACTCAATTGAATCTCCTTTTTGGTGACCGGTCAAACCGATGATTTAAAAAGTTTCTGTTCGACTGAGTTTCCTTTGTTGGTTGCTGGTCAAACCCAATCCCCCCTTTTTGGTGGCTGGTGAAGCAGAGGTTGTTGATTTAATTTGTTTCCTTTCTATTTTGAACAATTTATTTTCTTATAATTATCTTTTGAGTAGCAAGTTTAGCAGTGCTGTTAAATTTTTCTACATAATTGTGGGATTAGCAAATTTGTTTAGTCTTTATAGGACATCGAATTCTTTGTCTCGTCCCAATGTAGTCCCGAACTATTGCAATTCTTTATCTTTCGTTACTTTTATTGTTAATAAATAAGTTCTCATTTTGCCAAAATAAAAAATTTAGAGCCCGTTTGGTAGCACCAAAATCGGCTGTTTTGGCTGATTCTGCTGAAATTTATGATATTCTGGCTGGAGTGGCTGTTTTGGCTGATTCTGCTGATTTAAGAAAAAAATATTTTAAAAATATATTTTATTAATAAATTAAAGAAAAAATTATATGTAAAAATAGCTAAAATGGTCCTCTACAGTAACTTCAGCCAATACAGCCAGAAAAGTAACTCCAACCTTACTTTTTCGGCTTATTACACAATTCAGCGCGCGAAAGTAAAAGTTACGTGTTTGGTGAAAAAGCTGGCTGATAAGCCTGATAAGCCGAAAACAGAGTTCTCCAAACGGGCTCTTAAACTTTACTTCTATTTATGCAATTATGTTTAGGATGTTATTACTTGGACTGTAATCTGTCACATACCAGACCAGACTTGGATAGTTATAAAAAAACAAAGAAATCAAACATTATCAGACGAGACCAGTTCAAACCAGATCAAACTAGACTAGTCCAAATCAGCAAATTACAGCCCAAGTAAAAAGATCCTTACATTCAGTAGCGCAGTTATATTTGCCTGAACAGTGAACACACCAACACAAAGTCTTTAGTTTCCGTACCATTAAGAAAGATCAATACCGTATAATGGATACAACTTCATCACAAGTCACAAGATTAATGGTACAGCACCAAGCCATAGTTGGTAAATATCACATCTTTATTTGCATTATGATCTAAACAATTATCTTCAAGCTAACAACAATGACTTAGGGAGAGATTAAAAATTGGGATTTGCACATGTGAGCCCTGCAACTCTGCAAGTAGACAAACCTCAATGTTCATCTATTCAAGTTTCCAATTTGCAGGAAAATCAAACTTCATCAAGATCAAAACGAACAAATGGCTATAAGAAATTACAGAAGTGGCCCTTTATTTCTACTAATCACCAGGAACTTTGTACATATCAGCATTGATTTCTGTTAACCACAATCCAGGAAATAGGCTCTGCAATTTTAATCCATTTGGGAAAAAAAAATCAGATTGAATTTCACTGGGCAAAAATCTCAATTCAAAGATTGAGTAATGTAAAAGTCTATGAAAAGGGACTTACATCCAGATTTTTCTGAACATGTTTAGCTCGTTTCTTGGGCCGGCGGTTGGGTTTCCGACCTATTATGGCAACGAAATCTTCCTCGATCTCTCGCCGGGTAAGAGAAACGGAAAACTTCGCTCTCTCCCGCTTCAACGCGACGGAAGAAGCTCCGCCGGAGGAGACCGTGAGGTGGTCGAAGGCGGTTGCCGGGGATTGGTCGGCGGCCGCAGCCGTTGAGTGGTCGGCGGCGGCGGTTGGGTCGACGGAAGGTCTAGACCTCATGACTCTGAGAGATTCGTTTCTGTTCTTAAGTGGCGAACCATAAGGCGTTGCCGGCGACGCAACATCAACTTTCAAACCGGAGTTCGATTCGCCGGAGATGGCGGCGGCTACGTTAAGATGCTTATTTCCCGACCGTCGAGTCCGCAAGTTCCATGGTCTGGCCGTTTCCGATGGACCCACTGACGTAATAGTCTCCGACCCCGTCGTCGCTACCGGCGGTCGTTCCTCACCCTCCGCCACAAGCGGCCGCTCTCCGTCCTTCAGCCCCGCTCCCAAGATTGCCTCCTTCATCTTATCCGCCGCCGCCTGGAGATCGAGCAACAGTTTCTCCCTCACGGCGGCGATCCCGTCTTCGACTTCCCCCCGGAATTCCCAGCCGCGCTCCGTCCGCCCATTCTTGAAAACGTCCATGCTCAGAATCCGCTCATCGGATCCGGGATTCTGCCACCCCAAAACAGCCTCGGGCCTTCGTCCGCCGAGCGACTTCTCCGGCGACGTTCCATTCGATCTCCGGTGAACGGCGTCGGTTTTGCCGTTGGGGAACTTACGGTTGCCCCACTTCAAACCACAGGGCAGCGTAAAATTGTGCAGCGGCGGCTTCGATCTGTGAGAACCCATTGCCATCCAAATCTTTCTCGGCGCTTTTCCCCGGAGTCTCTCTGTTTTCTAACACTCCCTCCTGCCAGACGGAGATTAATTAATATAGGGTTTCTTAAATAAAATTTTATTATCTTTTCTTTTTATAATTTATTTCTATTTTTTTGAGAGCAGAATATACTCCACATAAGATTTATGTGGGCATATGCACGTTGGACTAGAAAAGAACAAATTTACACATATCAAATCACTTCAATTTTTTTTAATAAGGTTGTAATGCAAAAATATATGTACCAAGCATATTTTAAAATCATAATAAATTAAATCACATCAAACTTAATTTAATAAGGGATAAGTGTTTGTAAATCACAATTAAATAAATAAGACTTCAAAAAAGTGCAAACATCCCTAATCGAAAATTTTAATTCCTTCTTACTTGGCAAAGCTTTTGGCACTTGACACTTTTGGTAATCGATGATTGTGAGTTTTTTCATTTTTAATCCTTTCACTATTGTGGGAAAAACGCTCTTTGGTACTCGTCTTTGAAAATTTCCCACATTAACTCTTCGACTTTAATAAAAGGGACATTTTTGGTTATCAAGCACTATAATAGTGACATTTTTATTCCTTCACTTATTATGTCAAAATCAGAGTGAAAGAATTAAAAGTTTCAATTTGATGATGTTCATGGGACTAAATGCAGGGAATTTTGAACTCAGGGACAAGTGTGAATTACAAAATAATTGAGAAGTAAACATGAACAATTTGAAAGTAGAATACCAAAATTGTCACGAACACGATAGTTGAGGGAACGAAAATGACAAAAACTCTTACTTCGCATATCTTCTTCTATTCCTTATGTGTGGGCAAAAGAGTTTGATTCAATTGAACCGAACTAAATTGAAAATTGGTATTTGATTGAAAGAAATCACTCATTTCTTAATAATAATAAAAGTAAACATAGACAAAACAGAGCAATAGCTCAGAGCAATCCTGGAGTGAGATATAAAACTGACTATCCCCGGAAGGCTAGAACAGATCACTAACTCCGCACAATGACAGGCTATTCTAATAGCATCGTTGTACTTGCTACTAAGACAAAGAGCTAAAAATTGGACTTCATAAACTCAAAAGAAATAAAAAATCACAAATCCTAGTTTTACCAGCCACCAGCAAGGGAGAAGATGTTTAATCTACCACCTCCAAAGTTGTCATTCCCGATTTGACTAGCCATCGGAAAGGAATTATTGAACTTACCGGCTTTTCCACCCACCGATAAGGAGCCGAGTGCAAAAATTGTTCCGATTTCACCAGTCACCGAAAAGAAAAGCAATCCATTCAATTCCATCTTCCTGGATCGGTGGTGGTTCAGGAGGGGGGCGATCGGCCTCTGCATTGATACAGAAGAAATCCCGATTCGTGATTGATACAGAAGAAATCCCGCTTCAGGAGGGGGGCGATCGGCTTCTAGAAGCCAATACAAACCTCTAACTAGCAAACAAGAACACACGGCCGATAATTTCGGGGAATATGCATCTGGTGAGCGACACTTCGCCACCGGAAATAATATCTCTAGACAACGCTAAAAAATAAACATTAAGTTAGAAATGAAAACACTGATGATATGAAATCTTTTCATGATTGGAATCAAAAGAAGATTGAAAGAGGATAAGAAAAGAAGAAAAGAAGAGAGAAGAAGGTGGCTAGGGTTTCCCCTTTGCCGTTCCTCTCTACGTTTGAAAATTGGTATTTTAGTTTGGTTTAGGTTCGTAAACTGTTTGACAACAATAAGCTCAAATGGAATGGTTTTTCTGATTCGATTTTGAGTTCAAATATTGGTAATTGAACATAACTATTTGTAACATTTATTACTCCCGACGTGTGTGAAAAGTTTTCAAAATATTTCAATAAAAGTATAAAATTAATAAATTATACTACCTATGTGCTTTTTCAATTGAACCAATTTGCCTTTCAAGTTTGTCAATGCACAACATTGACTATAATTATATTTAATTAATATATTAATAAATATTTAAAAAATGGAAGTTGACATTAAAAGAAGTTTACTGATATTTTATACATAAAGATTTGATTATATATCTCAGTTGAAAATCATGGTCAAACTAAAATGTGTGAATGATGTAAAATTCAAAGTGTTGCAAGTTACAACTATTAAATAACAAAGAAAGTATACAAATATAAAGAACCTTTTCAGAATGGAAGTAGTAAAATACTACTTTGTATGTATTTGTCTTCAATCTTCCTTTTTAGGATATGAATAACCTAAATGTGAAAAAAAATTAGCATATACCATTTTAACTTTTATACATTTCATACGTTTATTATGACAAAGTTAGCTAATATAACATATGTTGCATATGTTATATGGTGCACTGAGTATGAAAAATATTCTGTTATTACAATAGCACATTATATTTATATCATTATCAGTTAAGGTAGAGTACAATATTTCACTTTACGTGATTCACTTAAATAAAAAATATGAATTTTACAATACTTTTTACTGTCAAATCTTTTAGTTTAAGTATAAATGTTAATCAATAATAAATTTATCATTTGTGAGAGGTAAGTCTTTTTTCTTGAAAATGATAAGATACTCGACTTTTTCATAACCTTAATCCAAGTAAGACGAATTTAGTGTTAATTTATACTCCGTAATATTGTATTACTAGTTTTCAAGCCCGTGCGATGCACGGGCAGTACGTAATTTAGCTAAATTTAAATTTCATTTTTTTCAAAATCATATATAATGTGATGCAAAAACAAAATAAACTCAGGGATTGTTTAATTTCGACTTAATAGACTTCATGACAATTGACGACTTAATCATTCAGTCATTAAGTAATGTTTACTTAGTACTTAATTGAAAATATGACTTAATCATTCAGTCAAAAAACTAACTTAATCCTTAAATTGGAGAATAACAGTTCTTCCCATTAAGACGTCTATTGAGACGTTTTTTCTGTCATTTTTTTTCTTTCAAATTTTCAATTAATGAATGAATTTTTTTCATTGACACTATAAATCAAGAATAATATGGAATTGTTTATTTTACACGATTCAGACTGTTTATTCAGCATACAAAATAAACGGCCTCAAATACAAATATCATTTAATCGGACATCTTAACCTAGACATACATGTTAATCTAGATATGACATAATAAAAAAAACTCTTAGTTTAATATAGAGCCCGTTTGATAAAACTGGAATTGATCGAATCAACTGGTTCTGCATAAATTGATTAAGTTCTGACTGAATGGTATGCATAATTAATTTTAAATTTTAATAGTGAGATGTTACATTTAACCCATAATTTCGTCACTTTAAAAATGTTTAAAAGTGTAGTTTTTAAAATTTCAACTCTTTTCTAAATTGGACAAATCTGAGGTGTCTAAACTAATTAAAAAAAAATTGAAGATACCACGGAATCAAAACGTATTCCTTCGTTCATTGTCAATTCAAATGCTTGATCCATCCATGTAGAGCATGGTACCATATATAGCACATTTCTAGTGAGTGAGATTCATTATGCATTTTTCCAAATGGCATTGTATTTTTGTTGACGGTAAATGGTTATTTCTGATTCATTGTGTTTATTCATAAGATTTTTTTTGTATCTTATTAACTAATCCTGTCGTTTGTATTCACGCATAAGCTATATAGTTATTTTGTACTTTCCATATAAAATCAACTATTCTTAATACTTTTTTGATCTATTTTTGTATATTTAGTTTTTCAGTTTGGATGACATCAGAGAGGCGGGTAACACGAACTTTAAATTCCAGTCGGACTTTGATGTATCAAGTTGACGTATTAGAAAATAATTTCCGCATTTTATGTAATACGTAGTATTAATCAATCAAGTATAATGCATAATATCAAACATCATAAACATGTTAATGGCAAAGTATGATATATACTAATGTATATAGTTTTTAATAATATATTAGTAAAATACTGTAGAAACTTATTGTGATGACATTCTTGATGTATGAACTCTAAACAATGGAACTCTCCAAACGAAGGAGAAACTCGATCAATTACTAAAATTTATAAAACTGAATAATGAAAACATACTTTAGTTTACATTCTCTTCCTTTTTATAATAGCAAATAAGGTGGATTTCCATATCAACTGTAATATAACAATAAAAAGTTAAAAATAATTAAATAATTGTTATATATGATGACATGGCAAGGTTTTGTGGCACATTGTATTCTCTTAAAAAGTTCCTCTTTTATATATATGTTTTTTAAAGTGTTAATTTTTATCTTTATTTTTATATATTCAATATTGGTGTCATATGAAAGATAATAAAAAATTATGAAATTTAATATATTTTTTGTAACAATCAGAGTACAAATAAAAAATTATTTTAGTTTAAAATAAACATAGGATTTTATTATTTGAATTGCATGATTTTAAGAAGTATTTTAAAAAGTTGTGTTACGTAGCATTCCAACTTATAGATTAGTTCTAATCTAAGTTAAATACGTATGTATCGGAAGATTTATTAACATACCAAATAAGATGGATTTCCATATCAACATGTAATATAACAATAAAAAGTTAAAAATAATTAAATAATAATTATATATGATGACATGACAAGATTATGTGGCGCATTGTATGCTCTTAAAAAGTTCCTCTTTTATATATATATATATTGATAACAAATAAGATGGATTTCCATATCAACATGTAATATAACAATAAAAAGTTAAAAATAATTAAATAATAATTATATATGATGACATGACAAGGTTATGTGGCGCATTGTATGCTCTTAAAAAGTTCCTCTTTTATATATATATATTGATTTCTTTTTTTAGTTTTTTATTTCGTGTCACATTTTATTTAAATAATAAAACATTATTAAAACATTAGACTTCGATCTATGATTTAAATCAAATAAATCAATACGCATCGAGCTGAATCAAATAATTTTCATATGGTAATCAAAACTTGAAATCAAAACGAACAAAACTAAAACACAAATGGTATGAATTTGGTACAATATCTGTGCAGCTGAATAAATCAAAACCGAATAAATTGAAACGGAACTCAACTGCATAAAATTGAATTATAAACCGAGTTATCCATGAGAGCTTCTTCTTAGGGAGCGCAGATCGTTTCTCCTAGCCTCCTAGGGCAGCCGCCTCTGGACTTTTTTTTTCCGAATTCGATCATATTGATCGAAGTTCGGCTGTTCTTGTTCGCATATCTGGCCGCGGAGCAGTGGTCTGCTTTTGACTAAGGTAGAGCGATCATGGGTTTTTCTCTCTAGGGCTTTGACTATGTCGGCCGCTGGAGCCTTTTTCCGATTTCGACTTTATCGAAGATCGGCTTTGTTATCCCTTGGTCGCCGGTGCTCGACTGGAGTCCAGGTCAGAGGCGGAGGGCGAAGATCGGTGGAGGAGGGCAGATTTGTTGTCATGGCTCGAGGAGATCGGCGCTGTGGTCAAGGTTCGAGGATGCGGCATTGTTGTCGTCGTTGGAGAAGATCGGCGCCGCCTGTCCGCTTACTCTGGTCGCACGGAGCAAGGATGAGTTTGGTTATGCAGGGACAGAGGATTGATGCATGGTCTTTGGCAGCCAAAGGTCATGGAGGATCAATTAGCATGGTACCAGTGGTACGACCTCCTCCTGAACCACCACCATGGGATGCACGAGGTGCTAGAGTTCGTGAACGTTTTTCTTGTAGTTTTTATCTGTTTGTTATTTGTTTTCTTGCGTCCATTTTTGTTGTTGGGTTTGACAGTTTGTTTGAGTTTTTTGCCTCTCTTTATGTCATTGGGTATGGTTGGATCTATGAGAATAATTTTGGCTGTGTCAAGCCCACTACATGGTTAGCGATTCGTGTTGCTCTCTCAGGGGTGACCGTCTAAAAGTCTCACCATAGGATTACAGTCGTGGTTGTTGGAGTTTCAGCTGGTGTCTGTTTTATTTTCCCTTTGCTTGATGTAATGATCCTGATGAATCTTTTGATATGAATAGAGGCATGTTTTGATGATAAAAAAACCGAGTTATCCATCCCTAGTGTGTATTCACCTTTGACCTGTGAGAATCAATTTTGGAGTCTCACACCCTGGCAAAGAGATTGTGAGTACGTATATTATACAACCGGCTGTACGGTGAGCATCGTACAGCCGGCCCAGTAACAGGCCTAAGGGTAAAATAGCAAAATAATTCGGTGACATTTTTGTAATTAATGTGAAAATCGCGATTTCTGCTAATTGAGCATTAGTGTACAGTTAATGAGCAATAGTCCAATTTTAATGAGTATTAAGCGTCTAATAATGAATACCGTGTTATTACAAGAAAGCTGATGTAAGAAAAATATTAGTAAGAAAGCTGATTTTAATTAATAGTCCAATTAGAGTAAGAAAAATTTAGACGTGCACAAACTTTACTAAATTTGGTATACGACAATATTAGTATGACATACCGAAAACCAAAGATGAGATCATCTTACGGGACGAAAAGAGTATCATAGGATATTAGATGTTTTCTTCCTCAAATAGGACTATCTTACACCTACTTTAAAACATATGGAATTTCTCATTCCATTTTTACCCCTTGCACTCTGATTAGCCGACTGGTCATCTCTTCTACGCAGACCCCCCTCCCTCTACACACCATCATCTCTTTCCCTTCTCCTCAATAAATTCTTCGCCCCTGCACATCATATCCATCGACTTCTCATCTTCACATGAGATCAATCAACTTCATCTCTCGTACGCCATCGTCAATTTCATCCTTAGCCATCGCCGCCGCTGCTGACTCCATAGGCGCACATTGCCATTTGGTCGGGTTTCTTCTTGTTCATCATCATCCTCCTATTATTCCACTGATTCTGAAGTTAATTTTTTAGATTTTTCTTTTATCCTTTTTTTTCTCTTTAAAATGCGTTTTTCGAGATTTTTGGATGATAGGATACAATTTTGCCAAGTTTTCTGGCAGTCGTATTATGCCACCGTTTTCTTTGCGTAATTCTGTTTTATTGAATTTTGTCATTTACTTCTTATTTCTTATTGAGTGAATTTGTTAAATCAATTTTTCCATTAATCTTTTGATTTTTTTTGGATATTTAGCTGTAAACTTCATATTTTGCCAAGATAATCGTTGTTTTGCGTAAATCTGCCAACTTTTGTTTGTTTTCATGGCTGTTTTAAGGCGCCAGATGGCGGCTGTGCTCGAGGGTGAAGTGATTGACCCCAAATTTAACATTGCCGGCAGTGTCGATGGGAGGATGGTGGCATTGGCGGCACATGGAAATGCCAGTTGGGCAGCAACCGATGGCATGATGTAGTGGTAGGCGGCACATGAGAGATGTGGCAGCCTCGACGAGGGTGGAAACACTTGGTACGGCGAGGGCGGCAACACACAATTGAAAATTTAGAGTTTCAACACTTTTTAAATTTTACATTTTTAAAATTAAAAAATAAAATAAAACAGGGTTATTTTTGTCAAATTGTGCTGAATTTTGTCATATGAAACTTAACTTTTATTGAAACTTCTAAATTGGCAACTAACTTTGCTTTCGGTCCTATTTAAAAATTTTACTCTACCAAATATTTATCAGACAGACATATACAACCAAATCAAAGGAAATCGGACCTAATTAGATCATAACATACCAGAAAATTTTAGTCCAATCGAAAAGTTCATATATCCTGCCACAACTTCTTGTTGACATTTTCACTACAATATACACTTCTCATCGTTTTATATTTTTAGAATTCAAATTGCATCGCCGAGGACATGTGTCATTTAAAATTTGAATTACATTGTGGTACTTCTTCCATCCTTTAAAACTAGTTTAACATGCACGGAGAATAATAAAATAAACTAAAAATTGTATGATTGATTTTTTTTGCAAAAGAGAAACAAATAACATAAATCACAAATTAATTGATTAAAAGGGAAAATGACAAAATTTGTAGGAAATCCCAAACATAAAAGATAATGTGAAGTTTGAAAGATAACAAAGTTTTAAGAAATGAATGAAGTCTATTTTATAACTAGGAAAATTTTATCTTATCTTGTCATTAATATAATTCAAGTTTCCTAATCATGGTGAGTAGATTATTATTTGAGAATCTCAATCATGCTAGCAAACACAACCTGAGTTCATTAGAATGATATAATTACTTCATCTAAAAAATGGTTAGTTATTGTTGGAACAAGCATAAGTCATAACATTGGATCCTACAAAAATAAAAAGATTAAACGTATACAATTGGGAAAATCAAATTTGAATTGGATTGTGATCTGAAGAATTGTCTTCAAGCTAAACAACACACCCATCATCAACAGAAATGAAAAAGAAATCAATTTTATCCTATGCTAATGAATGAAATAAAATAGAATCTGCTTAAATGAATGAAATAAATTAGAATCTGCATCTTCTAACACCAAAAGTGACCCAACCACCGGAGAAATCTTCATGTTCTCAGTTGGCCGGAGAAAGATAGACTGAGCAAACTTCTTGAAGATAAAACTCCGTTCTTTCTACTTATCATCAGTAACTTTGTACATGTCAGCACTAATTTCCGTCAGCCACAATCCAGGAAACAGGCTCTGCAATTTAGTCCATTCAAAAATCATATCGATTTTCACTATGAATAATTGCAAATTCCAGGTTGTTTTTTTAATTTAAAAATTGATGAAAAAGGACTTACATCTAGATTTCTCTGAATATTTTTAGCTCGTTTCTTGGGGCGGCGAGATGGCCGGTGACGGAGTATCGCCGCGAAATCTTCCTCGATCTCCTGCCGGGACAGGGTAACGGCGAACTTTGCCCTCTCCCCATTCTCTCTGACGGGAAATACTCTTGCTGCGGCGGCGGGGACGGAAGCGGTGGCAGAGCTACACCGGACTCTCGGAGATTTGTCTTCAGTCATCAATGGCGGCATCGTAATGTCGATCATAAAACCCGAATTCGATTCGCCCGAAGCGGCGGTGGACCCGTTCGGCTGCTTACTCCCCGGCCGGCGAGTGCGCAAGTTCCACGGCCTTGCGGGTTCAGATGGACCCACCGGAGAAATAGTGTTCGTGACAGTCGTCGGAGCCGGCGGCAGCCGTTCCTCGGAATCTTCCTCCTCCAGCCGCCCTTCAGCTACTTCAGCCGGTAATTCCCGGCCACCACTCGTCGGCCCATTTTTTAAAACACCCACCCCTAGAACCGCCTCATCTAATCCGAGACGCGGCAACCCAGAATCGCTTTCCGACCCACTCTGCTTCCCAAGCGACATCTCCGGCGACAGAGTATGAAATCTCCGGTGAACGGCGGGGAATCGGCCCATAGAATCAGGCTTCCCGCACCGCAAGAGCTTCTGTTTTCCCCACTTCAAGGGAAGCGTGAAATTGTGAAGCGGCGGATTCGATCTTTGAGAATCCATTGCCATTGACACCTCCCAATACATGTCCTCCTCCTCCTTCCTCTCTGCAACCATCAAAACTCTCTGTTTTTCTTCCAGACGGCAAAAAGTATAGGGTTTTATCCACAGAGTTTCTCTTTGTTTGGGTTACTTGGGATGTGATTCTAATTTCCTTGGGAATGAATTCGCCGGGAGCCTGAAGTTTATTAAATTGCGATGAGGCGGTTAATAGTTTCGTACAATGCGTTTGCTGCGATTTACGTCTCATGTTATGAATGACGGCAACGGGTTAGGACCCGCACTTATTAGGTCGGGTGTTAGGCCGGGTTGAAGACCAAAGTAGATCCGAATGGACGGGCTAAGAATTTAGAAAAACACTTCCTTAAGAGCCCATTTCACAATATTGAAATTGATTGAACCCGTTTTTTTAAATTAAAATTCATTTGAAAAAAAAGTTATGATGAATTTCCTGAAATAAATGAAATTCTAGGTGACACGGCTAAGGATGTTTTCTTTTGGACTATTTTCAGTCCCAAACCAGACCAGATTTCCGTAGTTATAAAATATATAGAGATCAAACGTTTACCAGACCAGACCAGTTCAGACCATACCAGACCAGATTAGACCATCAAATTTCAGTCCCAGAAAACATCCTAAATCTACCGAGTTATGTAGATATTATATTAAAAACATATGTTATGAACAAAATAAAGAAAAATATTATATGAAAAATCAACTAAAAAGACATATTACAGAAAATTTAGCCAATTCAAGTAGAAAAATAACTTCAAACTTTTTTATCCTGGTTATTACAAAATTCAGCACACAAAGTGAATAGTTAATGTTTGTTAAAAAATTGACCGAAAAGTTGAAAGTAGTTTGACTTTTAAAAATACGAAGTCCAAATACTATTTAAAGAGTTTATCAGTTTAGCTTTAAAAGCAATCTATACTAAGTTCAAATACTTCATCCGTTCCGTTTTAATTGCAACAGTCAATATTTCACGTTTGCCAACGCACAAGTTTGACCATTAATATCTTTCATTCCTTATTAGTAAAAATTCAAAAAATTCATATTTTGAAAATTTAGAATGAGAAGAATTTAATAATATTTTTTTAAAAATTAATTTATAATACATTAATGAATAAAATATAGTCAAAGTAAAATATGTGAATAGTGCAAAAAGTTCAATGTTGCGATTAAAAGAGAACGGAGGATAGTACTATTTAAACAGTTAATCAATTTATTATAATCACAATTATAATTACAGTTGTAAGTATAATTATAATCACAATTATAATAATTGTAAATAGAATTAGAATCACAATTATAATTATAATTATCATAGTTATAATTATAATTATAATTATAGAACTAATAATTTAAGTTATAATTATAGCTATGATTATAGTTAAAATTATAACTGTAATTATAATTATACTTCGTGACTAATGATGATGATGATGATGATGATGATGATGATGATGATGATGATGATGATGATGATGATGATGATGATGATAATAATAATAATAGTTATAATAATCATAAACACTCAATCAGATCATCAATATCCAAATCAGATCAAATTAGTATGATTTAAATCAGATTAGAAGGATTCAAATTAGATCAGAAATATTCAAATCATATTAGAAAATTTCATATAAAATCATACCAGATCTTAAAAAAATCAGATCAGAAACATTAAGATCAGGCGAACAGAAAAACTTTGTATTACGATGGAAGGACACAAGAAGGGATGAGGGGAGACCAATCAAGAGGGCAAACATGACCCCTTTCCACATGGTTTTGGGAGAAAAGCCAAAAGGGGCTATCTCCTTACTCACCCACCTCCTACACTTTGACCCGAACACCCAGTAAGAAGAGAAGAAGTCTCCAAAACACCATCGTCACCGTCTCCAATCGGACTAAGAACAAGGGAGAAGAAGAGAAACAAGAAAGGAGGAGAAACAGTAGGAGGAGTAAGAGAAAACCTAGGGAATCAAGGTAATGATCTCATTGTACCTTTTCTCCTCTTATCAAATCTTATATGACTAAATAAGTCATATGAAGGATACCTAGGATTGGAAGGCGGTTCTAGGGTTAGAAACCAAAGGTTACTTGTTCACCGGAGAAAATAACCCTTTCAAAGGTTATTCGTATTTATATGGGAAAGATTTGAGTTTAGGAATGTGTGTGTCTAAATATAGGATATAAGACCCTTTTATATTGGACAATTGATTTGGATATAAGACCTTTTTATAAGACCCATATATGGCATAAATATGCTTAGGATAAATTGAGAAAATAGCCACCTTCAAAATATTGGATATAAGAACCTTTTATGTAGGAAAGATTTGAGTTGGGGTCAAACTTAGTTGTGTAGGGTTGTTTGCACGTACAACCGTGCGTTGGACTGTGTGCATGATCGTGCACACGCAATCAGAGTCAAAATCCGCACGGCGTGCGCCTCTCGTGCTCATGACCGTCAACACCTTCCAGTAGCTCCGTGTGAGTCTAAAAACCTTTCCTCATGCACGCTTCCTATGCGAGGGGTGCATTATGAGTTGGACGAATGGGGGAATCGAACTATGAGTTGGAGGTGAGTCATCATTTCCGCCAGATTTGACCTTGCGTTCCGGATGACTGGACGGAGGATTCATAGTGATTTGGGAGATGGTGTGAGGCATCACGTCAGCTAGATTCGACCTTGCGTTCCTGGATGATCGAACAAGGGATTCGAAATGGTTTGGGAGATGGTGTGGAACGGGCCGCAAGTATGGACGATCCGGATCGGAAGAAACCAAACGGTGGCATCGAAACTATGGCTAAAAGCCTCACCTCGACTACAAGTGTTGTAAACCGTTCTGGATGGCCAAATGGGGATCAACTCTATAGTTTGGAGGAGAGCCATCATTTCAGCTAGATTTGACCTTGCGTTTCGGATGACCAAACGGGGGATTCATAGTAGTTTAGGAGATGATGTGAAACAAAACTGAGGGCGACGGGTCCGAGTCTATTAGAGTCAAGTTCATGGAACACCCCATCTGAAATATAGGGGGGTTTCATGCCCGCGTTCATGGCTCGTGGCATGCGCATTTGGGCTACCCAAACGCTGCGACGAATAGCTGAACGTATTGGTCTTCCCCAAACAACTAGTCATAATGATCCGTCTAATCTGACCGAACGAGGGAATCTTGGCTGGTTAAGTTTGGGTTGGGGAGTAGAGTTCCATCTCTCTTGTGCCTGGCTCGCGGTCGGCTCGTCCATCTCTAATCTGGGATGACGACCACCGCTTTATGCAGCACGAACGGCTCTTCAACGCCATTCGAAGACACTTGCTTAGGGAAGGCACGGAAGATCACGAGCATGCAACACCCCGGCCCCGCAGGACCCGAGGTAGCTACTCCACATACTCCACATACTACTCCCGTGTAAGCACGCATAACTTTGGAGTTCTTAGCTGATGAGCTCCCTTAAAAGAAGATGCACCTTGTTGTTATGAGTAAGCATGCTTAACTATGGCTAAAAGCCTCACCTCGACTACAAGTGTTGTAAACCGTTCTGGATGGCCGAACGGGGATCAACTATATAGTTTGGAGGAGAGCCATCATTTCAGCTAGATTTGACCTTGTATCCATCTCTCTTGTGCCTGGCTCTCGGTCGGCTCGTCCATCTCTAATCTGGGATGACGACAACCGCTTTAAGAAACTTCCCAGGGGGTCACCCATCCCAAGACTACTCTCGTGTAAGCACGCTTAACTTTGGAGTTCTTAGCTGATGAGCTCCCTTAAAAGGAGATGCACCTTGTTGTTATGAGTAGTACTATTAATCCTCTTAAATTAATCTCGGGTATTGCAATTAATTTTTTTCTTTGAAAGAACTTTGGTGGAGTAAACCTTACTTAGCATTTTATGCTAATTTATCCTCTTTGTGTTTTCTCTCCTTTCTATGTTCTGTGCAAGTAATTTAATAGATGATTGGATTCTTGAGAACGTTCTAGATGAAGATGCTTAGTTATATAATTTAAAATGTTATTTAGGACAATATCTGGTATTATTATGATTATTAATAATTTTGTAATAAAATTTTAGTAGTGATTAGCCTTAGCATCCAACCAAGTAGAGGGCTGGGTGTGGCGGTAACACGCCCTTTTTCCCATTTATTATTATTCCCGCTGCAAAACTCTTTTACTATTTTGCATGAATAAATCAAGTTTATTATCAATATATTACTATTTCAAGTATTATTTGGGGCGGGAAAATTGGGGGTGTCATAGAGCAAGACTCTACTTTATCAAGTAGATTCGCATGCTCACTACTCAAGAAAGTGGGGGACTTGTGTTGGGGTATATATTACCCCGGCTTACTACTGTTCAGAGGCCCGGGGCATCACCCCGGAACGGAGCCCAGTCAGCGAGGCTCATTTAGGCCTACCCGTCCCATTCAGAACCATTTAAAGCCATTTAGGCCCACACTGGCCTGCTTCGGCCCGTAAGGCCCTTCGAGGCTGTTAGAATAGAAGGTTTCCCCATCTATAAATAGGAAGCAAGACTTCCATTTCAAGGGATATTAAATGAGCTTATAAACTCCATTAATGGAGGTTCTACATTTGTACTTTGTATATGGTGAGGAGAGTATTAATGAGAATGAGTGGGCTTGGAAGTTAGCCTAAAAAGTCCCGTGGTTTTCTCCCTTTCAGGTTTTCACATAAAAATCGAGTGTCATACCAAATTGTATTTATATTTACAATCTCATGTTGGCTTAAAATCAACAAATTCATTACTTCAAATTTTGAACTGTTATAATGAATTAATGATATGCTAAAATTTACTAAATATCATGACATGTTCTTGGCTCGTATTGGTACACCTGATAACTTTTTCATTTTTTCATGAATATGTTCTAAAATAGAGAACTTAATTATGTGCATACAATATAACATAACAGACCCAGAAATAATCACAATGAAACAAAAAATAATCAGAGTAAAAGTCAGAAAACAAATAGAGATTAACTAGTAACTACTATTGGAAATATGATTGAAAAATACAATTTGGGGTCTCATTAACGAGCCTTAAGGATAAATGTACTCCGTATAAAATATGTGATAATGTGCATTTTCCATATTTTATCCGCTCACTTTGAAATCACATTCTATTGGTTTTCGGATTTAGTTGTACTTTAATTGTTTTGATTCTCACATTTTTTTTTTTGGCAGAAACTCAGATTTATTTTGTTAGTACTCCGTAACTAGCAAGT